CCTGACGCAGGTGCCTCCGCACGAGGCTCTTTGTGCTTCTTTCTTGTCGTTTCCAAAGGACTTGGTCTGAGTGGGATTTGTTGTCGTCGTCTTTGTTCTGAAGGAGAAGTAATTCAGGATAAGGGAGCTCTTGGAGAAAGGGCCCCGCCAGTTCCCCAGCGGCGGTCGTTTGTTCGGCCCTGCCCGGTGCTGCAGGGGAAGGCTTCTGGAGACCAGTGAGGCTGTCGCTGTTCCAAATGAACGTGCAGCCCAGGCACAGACCGGCGCTTGAAGCCAAACCCAGCGGCCCTCTCGGTGATGCTAGCAGGATGCCTGCCTGGGGGTCTTACAGGGGGCGTCGCCAGCCGGGGCTCAGGACTTTGATAGACCTTGATCTGAATTCCCACAGCCCAATTCTTCACTTTACCTCGGCAAGCCTCAGTTTCCCTGTCTGTAAATTGGGAACGATTAAAACTCTGCCTCGTAAGGTTGATGAGAGGGCAAGTACGATGATGGGAATAAAGCACTTCGCGGAGTCTTTTCCGTAAAGCCAGCTCTCAGTTTTAACCCTGAGCACTACAAACAGACAAGAGCTAACGCTGAACCCTGAATTATAGTGGCTAATAGCCGAGGTTTATGGAGCAGTTACGTTCTGGGCTCTGTTCTCAGTGCTTTTTACATATGATCTACTTTAATTCTCATTGTAATCTTAGGCAGGAACTATCAGCCCCGTGTTTACAGGTGATATAAGGAAAGCTCAGGTGAAGTAATGTCACCTTCACCCAAGACACACAGCTCTTATATGGGGAGCGTGGATTCGAATCCAGGATGTCTGTATTCAGAGTCTGTGGTTATAATCACTACAGTAATGTTCCAGGGGCATAGAGTTCAACGAATGGGTATTTTTTTTTTAGCAGATTTTTTCTTTTTGAGATAAAATTCAAATAACGTAAAATTCACCATTTTAGCCATTTAAACATGTACTGCTCATAGCAGCATATTCACGGTGTACCGTCCTCACCACTGTTTAATTCCAGAACATTCTTATCATCCCCCAAAGAAATCCCACCCCATTAGCAGTCGCTCCCCATTTCCCACTCCCCCTGTCCTGTGGCAGCCCTAATCTACTTTCTGTCTCTGGATTTGCCTTTTCTGGACATTTCATATACGTAGAATCCCATGATGTGTCGCCTTTTGTCTGGCTTCTTTTGCTCAGCATACTGTTCTCAAGGTTTGTCCATGGCATAGAATGTATCCATACTTCATTCTTTTTATTGCTGAATAATATTCCATTATGTGGATAGACCACATTTTGTTTATCCATTCCTCTGTTGTTGGACATTTGGGTTGTTTCCACTTTTTAGCTAGTGAATAATGCTGCTATGAACACAGCTGTACAAGTTTTTGTGTGAGCCTAAGTCTTCGGTTATCTTGGGTCTATATCTAGGAGAAGATACTATTAATATTTTAATTCCCACTGCACAAAGGGAGACCTGAAACTGAGGGTTATCGGATCTTGGATGAGAACTCCCGTGTTCTGCTCTTTCCATGCAATTCATGGTAGTGGTATACTGAAACTTGGCAAAGGAAGGTAAGGAAATTCCAAAAAGTCATGCTACACCAATAATAACTTCATCAAAGTGCGGATGCAAAGTTTGAGAAGCTTCTCAAGTTTTCTCTCCCCGAGAGGGAAGTTTGAACTTTGAACACAAAGCATTATTTGCTTCTATTTATTAAATAAATGTCATATACCTAGCATCATGCCAGGTGCTGAGAAGGAATAGTAAAGATGGATGTGATCCCAGCCTCACACCAGCACAAGGCTGTGGGAGGATTAAAGAATTCAATCTGAAAAACAAAACTGTAAAAAAAATTGTAGAAAATAATATGGGAAAATATGTTTATGACTTGGGACTAGGATGGGATTTTCTGAAATAAAACATGACAGGCACAAACCATGCAGGGAAAAGATAGATAAATTTGGCTACATTAATATTAAGACATTCAGTTCATCAAAGGCACTATAAAGAGGCAAAGCATACAGAGAGCTAATATCTACAATATGGAAAGAATTCTTATAACTCTGAAAGAAAAAGAAGACAACACGTCAAAAGCTAGGAACAGGCATTTCATAGATGAGAAAACACAAAGACCACATAAACATCAAAAGAGTGCCAGTCAGCCTTATTAGTAGTCAGGAAATGCCAATGAAAACCATGGTGAGATCCCATTTCACAGCCAGCCTTTGGCAGGAAGTGAACTGTTGGACGTTGCCAGCCATCGAGAGGAGACAGCATGCGCTCACACTTGCTGCTGGTGGGCGTGTAAATTGGTGCAGCCGCTTTGGCAACATCTCGCTGTATGCCTGGATGCCCTGTGGCCCAGCAGTTCGACTCATAGGCCTATCCCTTTGATAAACTCTTGTACACGTGCCTAGGAGATATGCACGAGAAGGTTCTCGGCAGTGCCGTTCATAATTGTAAAGTCAAAACCAACAAGAACAACCCATCAGCAGTAGAATGGTTGTATGAATTGTGTGTCTGTACCATGAGGTAACGCGGCAGTGAGAGTATATGGCTTACAGCTACGGAGGCGTGGGTGAGTCTCAAAAACAACGCTGAGTGAGAGAAGGCACCAAAGGATACCGAAGGGGTTTGATTCCTTTATGTAAAGGTCAGAGCCAGGGAAAGCGGAATATTTCAGAATCCCATGCTGCAGTAATAGTACAACTATTAAAAAAAAAAAAGCAAGGGAATATTAACATCAGAATTTAGGAGATTGATTATCGCCCCCCACCCCGGGTGGCAGAAGGGGATGTGGCCAGGGGGGAGGCATCGGGGCTTCTAAGGCTGCTTTGATTTGTGAAATAGGGTGTCTGTGCGGGTGTTTTGTTCATTACTCTTTGAACTGTGCATAATAGGTTTTACAACTTTTGTGTACATTTTCCAATTTTCTTAAATTACAGAAAAATTAGTTTTAGATATATTTCCTGTCCTCAAGAGGCCTGTGTTCTAGTTGAGGAACCAAGATAGAGTCCAGTTACTGCACTGCTCCTCATTCTGTTTAAGTGTTTAAGTGTTTAAGTGTCACGTGGGGCAGAGAGACGGAGGGGAACTCATGCTGGTGTGTGTGGAGACCTGGGAAGGGAAAGGAAGAGGGGCGTGGGCTTCCCGTCCCTGGGTCCGTCCCTACTGGCTGGCGTGTCGTGGTGCTTGTCAGCGAGTCCTGGGACTGAGCTGGGGAGAAGGGATGGGACTCGAGCTGGTCTTGCGAGGAGAGACAGGATGGGAGTGCTGAGAGCAAGGGTCTGAGTGAAGTAAGATTTCTATTACAAAAAAGTTTAAAGTCCTAACCCTGCAGCCTTACTGGAAAGTGCCGGCTGCTGACGAGGGTGGTGAGGACGGCCTCAGCCAGTCGAAGATCTGAGGAGCCTCTGAGGATACTTTCTGCTTCCTGAATACACTGGAAGGTTTTGGTTTGAGGGATGTTTCAGGATTTGCAACTTGTCTCTATACTGTCTTAAGAACTAGACTGACAGTCTGTCCGTCCCTCCATCTTAATTTCCTATGACTGCTGTAACAAATTGCTACAAGCTCAGTGACTTAAAACAAGACATAGTTATTCTCTTACAGTTCTGGAGGTCAGAAGTCTCAAGTCAGTCCCACCGGACTAAAGCCAGGGTGTCAGCACGGTTGTGTCACTCGGGGAGGCTCTGGGGAGAATCCATATCCTGGCCTTTGCCAGATTCTGGAGGTGCCTGCCTTCCTTGACCTGTGACCCCTCTCTGCATCTTCAGTCCAGCAGCCTCTGGTCTTTAAATCTCCCTCACACTCTCTGACCTCTGCTTCTTGGTCACAACTCCTTCTCTGACTCCGACCCTTCTGCCTCCATCTAATAAGGACACGTGTGATCACATTGGACCCACCTGGATAATGCAGGATCATCTCCCCATCTCAAGATCCTTAATCTTCAAAGTCCCCTTGCTACACAGAGGTGACATGTTTACGAGGTTTGAGGATTAGGGTGTGGGCATATTGGAGGGCCATTATCTACCGACCCCACTACCTTTTGTTTGGTGGTGTTTTAATTGTCTTTTTCCATCATACTTGCTTTATTTTCTTTGAAAACATTTTGGACAATCTGTCTTATGTTCTTGTAGCATCACCCCTAGGTAGCATTCATTTGGATAGCCTGGGGATGCTGTGTTTCAGCCAAGACACTGCTCCCAGAGCTCTTTGATTCCCGAAGGGTTTTGTATTAGGTCTGATCGCCTTTCTCACGGTGAAGT